GGTGCCAGGAGAGCTGAAAATGTACTGATCACCTCGTTTGTACCCTCAAACTGTGCGTGTCTGGATCTGCAGATCGGGGTATGGCAAGGGAAAGTGATGAGCCATTTGCAGAGTTCAGATCTCATTTTCAGCACACTTAACTCATGATGACAAATGGATGCCAGTTCTGTGTAACAGCAGCTTTCAAAATTTCCAGGTGTGATTGTTTCTTCCTAGGTAGGACCAAAATCAAATCAGTTCAGAATAATTAACAAAATATAAGGTGTAAGAGGAATTAAACAAACAAACAAAAATGAGGGGGGGAATATGAAAAGTGTAGTATTTTGAATGATGAAATACACACTTTCTGTTGCAAATGCAGTGGTGATACCTTGGAGCCCTGCTCACTTGGTTACCTCACGTCCTCACTCTGCTCTTCTCACGTGCTGCAGAACCTATCAAAGCCTTGCTGGGATCCAAAGGATCACAGCAGAGGTTCACCATAGCAGATGTAGTTTATGGTGGTAAAAGGGAGTGTGTCTGACCAGCACTGCTCACAAGACAAAGGATCGGGTCGTACAAAATACCAAACAGATCCCAGCCTGGCCCAGCCCACGTTAATCCAGGTTTTATGAACCTCAGGCCGTGCATTACAGATGTAGACTTTGAATGCACATTCAGGTTTTGCCCACCCTCACCTTGGTCCTTCCACTTGTTCCCATCCTTGGTGACTCAGAGCAGTGAAATGGCCAAGCTTATGAGAGAAATAATGAACAACAAACGCCTTTTGGCAGGGTTTTTCTATTGTGCTGTCAGATTGGTCCTTTGACCGTCAAACCATCACTCAGAACTGCCACCCCTTGATTAAATCGCACGCTGCCTATGATGTCAGACGAAAGGACATCTGTCCTTGCCGTAACTCTCCCGAAGCTATGAACTTGCCTTGGAAGGGCCTTTGGCTCACTTTCATCAATTCTGAACTGGCAGGGTTAATATGAAGGACTGGATTCTTTCTCCACTTGGGATCATGCCTAGACTTAGGTAAATGGCTACAGGTTTTTGTTGTCAGCTTTTGTGCTTGTGACCCCGAGGTGATACAAAATAATCAGGAGGAATGAACTCAGATGAGCCCATCTCACTTTGCACATCAGTGCCACTCGGAAGTGAAAGGGGGACAGAAGGCTGGAGTCAGGTTTGCCAGGTGTGCAGTGTGCCTGTTCCTCTGTCAGGGGTTTGAGAGCCAGCTTGAGTTCCTTTGTGCCAACAGGGTCTCATGGCCAAGGTACTGTCACTCTGGAATCATCTCACAGATGAACAAAGCTTTTGCTGATTGACGTCTAATTTGCTCTGTGTTTATCAGAACTGAAACAGTAACCACGACGGCCGAAGACTGCATCAGTGAGCAGCGATGTCAGAAGAGGAACCGGAGTGGAACGAGAAGAACTAGTCGGAACTCTGTAATATAATGGACTTTTGAAATTGAGGATTAATTGGTATTGTATTGCACGTTATGAAGAATCATATAAATATAAGATGCTTTTTGTCAGCTGTTGCCACTCATTGTGGTGACGGCCCAACTCTTGAGTTGTTCATAAAGCAGCATAGAGATACCCACAGTCTGGTGAAATCCTTTAACAGAACTGGCAACACAGATGGGACTCTAGGACACAAGAGAGGAAGAGTCAGATATTCCTCTGGACAAACCTGTTACCAATACTCAAATTGCTGGCAAAGAAATAAGAGGTGATTTCACCTAAGAGACTTGGGCACGGGTAATTCCAGACAGAATTATACTGGGAAACTATTGTGTTTAAATTTACAAAGAGTGAGATAAAAGAAATGTATAGAAGATGGGGACAGTACTCCACGTTGAAAGGGGGATGCTCCTTGCTGAGGTTTTAGAAAATTGGAGAAGATACCTTTGACACAATCACTACAGAAAAGGAAACTCATAATACTGTGCCAAGAGAAATGGCCATTCCTGACAAGAAATAGAGGAGAAGGGCCAGTGGATGTATGGCCTCTGAAAGGAAGTTAAACCCCATCAGTGAAAATCTCCAAGAATAATTTTGGAGGATTCTGAGAGTCAAAATATTGATTATTGGTACACTTGGTGTACTGGAGGTCAACAAATAAAGAAAACCTCTTTAATAAAAACTAAAGGAAGTTTACTTCCTTCAGCTCCTGAAGCTGAAGAAACTGAAATCGCTTTTAGAAATATCCGGTGCATTCGGATGACAGCCCAAACCCTGGAGTGGGCCCTGGTGCAGGTGCCGACGTCTCTCCAATAACAGTAGTGATGTGACACGAACCTTGAAAACAAGGTAATTTATTAACTTGGCATGAAAAAATGCCTTGTTTATGAGCTGATGCTGAAAAATGTGCTCAATTGTTATTGGGAATTTTCACTGATTACACCCCTAATTGGAAAGATATGAAAACTTTATGCCGAGAACTATTTCAAGCAGATAAAAAAGATTTTCCAAAAAGGCAAGAGAACAACTAATTGGACAAAAGTTTTGGAATGCAAACAAAGATCAGACGAGCACTCAAGTGATTATTAGGGCCAATTGAAGGCTACTGTCATTATGGGGGTATGACCCGTGACAATTCCCAAGAGCCACCAGCTATTAGTGTTTTTGTAGAAATTGATGCCAGGCTGGCAAGGTAAAACATTAATTAAAATCTTGAGCATTGCTGCTTTTGTTTTTGACAGGAGAGATGAAATAAAAACAGCAAGAAGAAAGGTTGAAACTTGAGAAAAAGCGAGAGCAAAAAGAGAAAGAATGAGAAATTGGGTTGTTGGCTGTAGCAATTACCTAAACCTATAACCCAAGGGGGAGAGGTTGGGGATTTCCCCGAGGTAGAATCAGGGGAAGGGGTGCGTGAGGCAGAATTCCTCTTATCTCTCAATATGTTAATTCTTTAGAGTGCTTCTACTGTGGAAATTTGGGACACATGCAGAGAGTGTCTACTGAGACCCGTGTCTGCACAAGGAGGATCTTTATCTGCCAGACCTTCTCAACCTCACTCACAGTAAAGAAAATGGTACTCATCTCTCAGAACTGAAAGAACAATGGGATCTGTTGGCATCAAGGTTGATGAGCACGGTCAGATTTCTGCAAAGGTAAACAGTATCATTTTGGATAAGAAATTAGTCTGGGGTAAATTTGTGATCTCTCCCAATTCCCCTATTTGCCTTTTGGGCTTGTACTAAATTTTGAAGCTCCCCTCATTTCGAATGATAGCACGGGGAGCAGTAGGGGAAGAGATAAAATATTTATCTACCCCTTTGACAAGACCTTTTTCAGGAATTTGGTACGTTTATCTCCTTGGCTCCAATGGAGATTCAAGTGATTTTAACAGGCTCAGAAATAATTGTATTGGGAGGTCAAAACCAAAATTATTTGAATGATATACAATTTGAATTGGCTGCAATTCCCAGAGAACTTTGAAGTAAGTGAGATTGTTAAAACCAGCTGAGCCAATTGTGATAAAAACAAAAGGAGGGATTCTCCTTCAATTTAAAAATATACAATTATAAATGAGGGCATTCTCAGTATAGAAAAACAAATTGTACGGGTTTTTTTAGAAAAAAAAAAAAGTATTTTGAAGGAATATCATAGTCCTTATAATACTCCAGTTTTACAAGTTAGTAAACATAAAGTAGATGAAGATGAAGATCCTGAATATAGATTTGTTCAAGGTCTACGAGCTGTAAATGAACGTGTAATTGCTTCACATTCTGTGGTACCAGATCCTAGTCTGATTTTAACACAGATTCCAGTCAGGGCACAGTATTTCATGGTGCTTGATCTTACAGGAGCTTTCTTTAGTGTTCCAATTGCAGAAGAAAGCAAATCAATCTTTGCCTTCATGTGGCAAGGGAAGCACTTAACTCGGACTAGGTTACCATAAGGATTTACTAGTTCTCCAACAATATTTTCTCAAATTTTAAAAAATTATTTACAAGATTTGGTTTAGAGATACTGAATATCTATGTATCCAACTTGTTAAAAAGGGACACTGTGCCTCTGTGTCCGAATTACAGTTTTGCAAACAGCAAGTGAAATATCTTGGATTCATATTAAAGCCAGGACTTCCTCATTGTTCAAGACCTTTTAAATTGTATTGTGATGAAAATAAAGGAACTAGTTGCAAGTACAGACTTTAGGACCACAAACTTTAGGACCACATGAAACACCTGTTACCTATTTTTCTTCTACATTATACCCAGTGACTGAAGGAACACCTTTCTGCATTAGAGCAGTAACAGCAGCAGCTGAAATGATAGAAAAAAAAAAAAACACACAGGACAACCACTAACTGTTTGTGTACCCTGTGAAGTAGAAATATTATTAAAACAGTATGTGAAGAAAGCTTTATCTCCTCAAAGGGTGCATAGGTATGAGATAATTCTATTATTGGCTAATAATTTGAAATTGGAAAGGTGCAATTCATTGAACCCTGCCACCCTAATACCTTTACCTTCTGATGGAGAAAAAGATAATCATAACTGTGTTCAACTATTAAGTGAAACCAGCAGACTGTGAGATGATTTGAATGATCAACCTTTAGATAACCCCGATTTGAACCTCTTCACGGATGGCTCTTCCTATTATGAAGAAGGTCAGAGATGTACCCATTTTGCAGTGACTACAGAAACACAGGTACTATTGGTGGGACCTTTTCCCGCACCTGTAGGTGCACAGGGAACAGAAATAATTACTCTCACAGAAGCTGCAAAATATGGACTTTAAATATGCTTTTGGTATCTACCGTGCACCTGGGATTTTATGGAAAGAATGAGGTTTCTTAACATCAGCAGAGAAGTCTATAGAAGATCAAGGAATTATTAGAGGCAATAAAATTACCCTTTGAGGTTTCTGTCATCTATATAAAAGCACATACTCAGAGGCAAGATATGATTTCTAAAGCAAATTCTTTAGCTGACCAAGCAGCTAGAGACACAGCACAACAGGTTGTGTCCATCATGTCATTATCACAACATAAGGTGATAATCCAACTCCCGGATATAAATCAGTTATATGAAGACCTCCCTGATGAAGAAAAGGAGCAGTGGATTTGACTTGGAGCCAAGCCACAAAAAGAACAATAGATGCTTAATAACAAGCTGCTTCTTCCAAAAAGGTATTTATTACCAATTACGTGATGGCATCACAAAAATAACAACTCATGGGGGGCCAGAGAGCTTAGTGCTCCAGATTCAAAGACTTTGGGCTGCCCCTGGAATTTATGCAGCAGCCAAAAGAATCCGTGAAGGATGTAAAATTTGTAAACAATATGCTTCTGTACAAATTAAGGCACCCAGAAGACATCCAGCCACCTTTCATTTTTCAAAAGCTCCAAATTGATTATACTGAAATTAAAAAAAAAAAAAAAAGGTACTCTTAAATGCTAGTGATAATTGATCAGCTAACAGGATGAGTAAAAGCTTTTCCTACCAAGGAATATGATTCAAAAGCAGTAGTAAAAAAATTTTAGAGAAAGAAAGAATTCCTAAATAGGGAGTTCCTGAAGTCATTGATTCTGATCATGGGGGTCATTTCACAGCTTCTATTTTAATTCCGATTTATAATTCCTTAGGAATTAAACTTGTGAAATAAAAACATTAGTTAAAAAAATCACACAGGCTGTTCAAAGAGACAGTAGCATCAGTGTAACGAGGTTCTTAGGACCATTTTTTTTAAAGAGTGAAACATCTCTGTTCAATTTCTTCAGAAATAATCAGCCAGCAATGATGCAAAAAGATCAGTATGAGTCATTTAACAGGAGACTAGCTGTATAATCATACTAACACCACCAAAACATTAAAGCCATAATGTTGCTATGATTTGGAAGAGCTGATCTAAATGGACACAAATTTCAGAAAGCTAGATTTAGAATCAGTGCAGAAGTATGTTACACAGCCACACTTCTAATAGCACATTACTTGAAACATCTGATATTGGGTAGGGTGTATCCAGAAAAGAAAAATTTGGGAGAGGAGTTGAATTTTAAGTGTAAAAGAATCATAAGGCTTTAAAATCCTTTTTTAAAAAGTCATTTATCAGTGGAGTAGTAAATAGCAGTCGTTTGTTTCGTTTTTAAAAGATATCTCTATCTTGTATAACTTGCTACTTGAAGGTCCACACTGCTGAGCATTCCTCTGTACGTTCTGGTCACACATTGCCCTCTTCCAGATCATGGTACCTCAGACAGCAGGCACGTACTAGGTCCTGCCTCTCCCTTTCACATAAGTGCTGAATTGCGTGACATACTTAGAAGAGGTT